GGAGAGCGCAGTACCAGGAACTGCTGGCTCAAATCGACGACGAGGGAATAGTCGCCAGCAGTAGCAGTAACAATAGCAGCGGCTACTACGCCTCGTCGTCGAGGCCCGATCCCAACCACGACCACGACCCGTCGGCTGCTAGCTCGGGCCGCGGCGCGCGAGCCACGACGAGCCAGCATGAACGAGACCTCGAAGCCGAGTTCCGGCGTCGCGTCCCGGACCTCTACCGCAAAGCCCTGGAAGTCCATGACAACAACGGTAGTGGCGGAGGCCGGGCTGCCGAGACGCCGCGCGACACTCCCGCCTCTGCGCCCGCCCCTGGCGCTGCTTCTGATGACACTGGCAATGGCGGTGGCGGTGGGGGGACAGGAATAGCAGAAACGGTGACGGGTGCAGCAGCAGCAGCACTAGCAGCAGCCAAATCATCAGAGGAAGCAGCGACAGGAACAGCGACGAGATGGGACGGCGGCTCTGCCTTGCGACGAGGTGGAGGTGGAGGTGTCAATGCCAACACCACCGACGGGGAGGAGGACAGGAACAGTACCACAACCTTTGGATTCGACACAAAGGCGCCGCTGGTCGAGTATCTCGACAGAGGCCTCTCCCACATCCGGCAAGGGAAACCCGTCACGTCCGCCGCGAGTGACAGCTGGCGACCCATCGACGTGGCCCCGACCTCTTCGTCGTCGTCGCTGTCGCTGTCGTTGACAAACACCACCAACACCGCGATTGGTGGGATGTCGAAACTTGCCGCGGAGGGCTGTCATGCCCACTTTGACTCAGGGACCGCCGTCGCCCTCGCCACGCCGCTGGGTTCTTCAGATGATTCTTATGTGAAGATCAGCAGGGGAGATGCGCAGTACGCGGGCGATCTCCCTGCTCGTCTTGGTAGCCCCCCGAACCCGGGCCATCAACACCAGCAGCACCATCACCATCACCGCCAGAACCAGAACCAGAACCAGCACCGCGGCGGCCTCGTCGGAGGAAAAGACGGGACGATGAGGGATGCCCACGTCGTCGTTGGTCCGTCCGGGGATGAAACGCCCAAAAGGGGCCGGGGCGGTTTCCTGAATAAGGTTCTGCGAAGGGCATAAACGTTGAAAGCGTGCTTGCCCCTGGTTCAGGTGTCATGGTTTTCTGTAGAGTTGAAGAGGGGGGGGGGGGGGGACTTCTTTTCCCGAACATGGGGCTGGCTTGGAGGGCCAGAGGGGAAAAGGGGAAAAAAAGATGTGATGCTCGTGGGCGTTCGTCTCAGGAACCCTTTTTCATCTCGCGAGCTGGCGTCTTTTTTCGGACTTTTGGTTTTGGACGGAAAGTTGTATGGCGTGTATGGTGTGTGCGTGTCAATGTCGATGGTCAGGGCATAACCAAGCAAGAGCCCGTCAATGGAGGAGAGTTGGGCTGGGAACCATCTGTGGATACACACAACATGCGATGCTATTCACGACACACCACCACCACCACCATCTCCTTCTCCTCTGTTTTCACTTTGGGCTTTCTAGATTGAGCGTTTCTTTCCCCCTGGTTCGATGTTTTGGGATCAGGGGCAAATTTCTAGTTGGCATTGATGGCAAGACTGTAGATGAGCATACTTTGGTTTGGTTTGATACCGGTCTGGAGTAAGCAGTTTGTTCTTGGTGGGTGCCCCGTCAGCCCTTGGTGTTCAAACCAGTTCGGAGAGGGAGAGATTTCACCTTCACACAAGCAGGCGAGTGCGGGTTGGATGGTGGCAATGATGTTCGGAAACCGGAGTATCGTAGTTTATCGGACATGGACCACATTAGGACAAGATAATCAGTATGTATGTAGCGTAACAGAAGCAACAGCAGCATAACCTGGTCACAGCCTTGTAAGGTGTTCCCCTTCTTCGTCTTATTCTGTTTCCCGTGTGCTAAGCTTCACTCTATCTCGCTACCCCTCCATGTTGTATCGTGTATCTGTGTATGGTGGCATATGTTGGCCCCTTCAACCCGTCCATGCTCCCTCGCTTTCGCGCCTCTGCCTGCTTTCGTCTCTTCTTTACGAATCTGATAGTCACAGTGTCGTTTGGAGATATTGGCGAGAACAACGCTCCTGCCTGTTTCTCCAAGGGGAGGGGGTGTTGGGTTTGGAAGTTGGGTTTGGTGGTTGAACGGACGGACGTTCGACACAAAGGCCAGGGGGCATGATGGAAGAGACGGACGAGAGAGACAGATACAGAGAGAGATGCGATGGAAAGGGTCACCCCTCGTCCTTCTCCGCCAGCACGCAGCGTATGCACCTCTCAATTCCCCATGGATCACCCCTTCCCGCGACCCTTTCTTCCCGTCTCTTCGGGATGTTTCTGTCTAGGCTTTTCGTTCAGGCATACAAGGGGGAACAAGAGTCCGACAACCAGACCAGGCTCAAACTCAGACTCAATACCAGACAGACCCGGCAATGGCCTTGTAGCACCGTTCGTCTCGAACAGAAATGTCAAATACTTTTTTTCCCACTTGGTACGTGCCAGCCCTTGACGTTTTGGAAAAATCCGCAGTTTCTCAATGCTATCCATTCTTTTTTTCTTTTCTGCTTAGTATCTCTCTCCCCTATTTTTTTTCCCTTTGGACAGCACTCCCCTTCCTAACCTTTTGCCCCCTTGAACCCGGAAGCTCGGGTATCACGTCATCCATACCTGATCATGGTTTTTGCTATGCTTTAAGGACCCCCAACTCAACAGCAAAGACACATACGCAAGCACAGAGAACGACTGAGAGGTAAGAGAGAAACAGCAAGTCGCACCAAGGCAGGCATACCCTTTGCCGATTCTGGTCGGGCTTACCCATGCCTTGTCTTATTTGTCAAAAGGTCCGGACGGAGTTGGTTGGAAAAAAGGGGGCATACAGGGAAAATCTCCAACGTAAGGAGAACGAAGGAGGGGAGGGAGGTTTACCCGAGTCTACCTACTCTACAGGGTTGCATCAGTTACAGTGAGTGGTTGATCATAGATCTGTGGCGAGAGATAATCAATGTAGATCCCCTTGTTTCCTATACTACAAACTGCCGTTTTGTTTATAACATGGTTTTTCTTAGTTCCAATATATTGGCTCAGCTTGTGGTAGTGAACGGTGCTCAGGCATTGGGAACCTCGCTGCTGTTATCAGGTACTTCATACCTAGTACAGCTGGAAAACAGTAGACGAGGAAAGAGAGAAACATCACGAGTAGCTGGTTGGTCGCCTCTGGGGGAAGAGGGGAGAAACTGGTGTCCGATCCGAAGATATGCAGGTTTCGATCTCATGTGTGCAAATCAACCTACGGCACTTTAGTCTCACAATCGTCCGAGTAGGGAGATGCTCAACGGTCAGTCGCGAGCGGTTGTACCTGGTCTGATGTCTGCTCGCGTGTGGTGTCCAAGAGTACAGGAGACATACACTAGTCTCAGCGGGCGTTTGCCAGGTATGGGCAAGTTTCTATCGCATGGCAATGGAGAGGAGGTTGGGCAAGGACGAACGTCCGGGGGGGGGGGGGGGCGCCGCCGCCACCGTCAGTAAGCAGCAGCAGCAGCATTAGTCGCAGCAAGTCAGAGCGAGAGAGAGCGCGCGCGCGGGATCATCTGTGTGCCTGCTGCCTTCTCATGTTCTTGCCGAGCTGCCTGTCAAGTGGAAGGGACGACCTGACCAATCCAAAGCTCGGCAAGACGAAGGTCAATCACGGGCGTTCTTCTTCAGATCAACGAGACGAAAGTGACAAATCGCTCTGACGCCGGGTGTCAAAAAACGTCCATAGTTGACAGGTAGGCGCAGCAGGGCAAGGCAAGCATAACGTGCGAGCGGCCCCGAAGAGACGGGTCGGGTTGGACGGTTGGCTCGTTAGTGGTGGTGTCGTCGTCTTTCCTGTGACAAGCTTCACCTCAAGATACTCTACGGATACACACACTCTCTCGCTCCCAGGATATCGTCCAGAAGAGGCAAACAGGTCAGTGACTTTTGTCTACACGAGCGTGCGGGCGGGGAGAGAGGGACTGATGTTTCTTCTTTCGCGACATGTCCAAAGGGGAGGGGGTGCGGTGGGCGTGGCGCAGTCCGTCAACTCGGTCCCCAACGTTTGCTGTCAAAAAGAGATTTTAGAGAATGCGACTGGTTGGCAGATGTGACAAGTCGTCGGGCCCCCTTCTGTCTTCTGCTGCCATGCCAAATTCTGAGAAGGGCGTGAATGGGGTTGGTGGGTTGCGTAGTGTGGTGTAGGTAGGGATCCTACAAGCAGCAAGATCCTGTAGGTTGCAAACCGTCCCATTTTCCAGAAAGGAAAAAGAAAAGAAACAGAGGAGAGAAGGCAGACCCCCCATCCCTGCCTGCATCACGGACGGAGAAGAAGGGGGAGAGTCAGCGAGAGTACCCGAACATCGACAGACGGTGGTTTGACAGCGGGTCATAGATATGCACGACATAACATCATGACGAGAATCCGAAGGGAAACGGAGACAAATCAGAAGGCGGATAACTCGAGGTCAACGTGGTGAAGAAACAATTCCGCGCCCGCTTTGGCACTCCGACAGGTTCTGGAGTTTCTCTCTAGATTCCGTGCGCTGTGTCTGCTGCTGTACGCTACGTTCGAGCCCATCTATCGGGAAGAGAAACGAATCTCTGCATGCTGAGTTCCCCTTGCCCCGTTGTCTCCTCTTCTAGTTTTCTTCTCTCCGCACGACGCTCGTTGTCAGAAGAAGGGAGACAATGCATGAGAAATGTCAAATTTCGCTGTCGTCGGGGAATTCGCATCCAGACCTTGGATGCGAGAACGGAATGCGATTCGCTCGCCAGAAATCGTGACAGGTGCTAGGGTACACCCTGGCACGCCGGGGGAGGAGTTCCCAGCCCCAAAATGAAGTGTTTTTTTTTTACGATTTGACAGGGCGCTTGGACCATGTTAAGGCTGGGTTCAAGCTCCAGGGGACGATAGATGGGAGGGGATGAGGAAGCGGATGGATAGTGGACTGGATAGATGAAGACAAGGAGTCTTTTGAGTACGACGTAGGGATTGTTGATGAGCATCGCCATCCGGCTCTGGAGTCTGGCACTGGCCCTGGACGCTCTTCCCTGTGCCTGTCCTTCTCCTGTCTCCCCCCCCTTCTACTCATCGATCTTGATTACAATCATTTTCGGGGCCCTTGGAGTCCCTTTCAGTTGCAACATCATCCATATTCGTATGCACGAATACACCAGAATTGGCAGATTGGAAGCCAACAGTCGGCTGGCTGGCCGGGATCAGATCAAGGCAAACGGGTGGAGAACGGGCATCGAATTCTGGCACCGGTCGGACCTGCCTGTTCAGTTTCAGATGTCCGGAAGCAACGCCAGAAGATTGCCAATTGAGCACGGCTTCCGGGATAAGGTCTGCCGCGAAGAACAAGCCCAGAATTTCTACCTGCGGTCATTGTCCGCGGGGCGAGTTAACAAGTTGCGAGTGGATGAGATTCCTGACAAGCCCCATGTTTTCCTTCGGCCCTCAGGGGCCGGGAAAGCCAATGTGTGAGCCCTTCGTGCCCTTCTGCCTTTTCAGATCCCTGCTGGTCACGCCAGTCTTGCGTCCAGCGTTATGAGGGTTGCTCCCCCAAGCCTGGCTGATCCATGGTTATGACGGGGAGCATGGTGTCGGCAGAAGGCATGTTTGGATGTTAAACCTCCTAGCCACTTTGCCACCCCACTCGAATCGTCCTAGTCCGATCCATCAGCGTTGGATCTGGTGGTCCCCTTGCGGCTGTCAAACTTGACAGATCCCCTTTACAATTTGGTCGCCAGTGGGGAGAACCGAGGCCGATAATCGATATGACTCCCACCGTCGAGGGGTGCAGATGGAGCTTCCGACCAGGTATGGCAATAAGACCTTCTGTGCCGGCGGGAAATGACTTCATAATGAGCCCAGATATCTCGTCAAACTGTCCTTTAACACGCTCCTAGTGGGGTTCCAATATCTGCCGATTCCCAATAATCTTTCTGCGATTCTTTCAACCTTGCGACCGCCGCTTGGATCTGGGCCTGGACTTGCACTATGCACCTTGTCAAATGTAAAGGTATGCATGTCGCTGGCTCGGGACTCGGGAGTCGAGTCGGGAGCCTTGCGCCCGGCACGCCTTGCTCGAGATCTCATCGAACCCAAAACTCCCTTCCATTGCCAATTCCCCCCTCAACCGATTGAAAAGTGTCACCGAAATAATCCTGAGTTGTGCCCGATAAAATATGCTTTTGCCCCTGTAGGATGTTGACAGGCTGTGGTTGTGACGGCATCGGAGCCGCAAACTCTCCACAACAACGTCTGCGCCTGCCTTTCACAGAACAGACGATGTGACTGCCCATTCTGGCGCTGCTGTCCTCTTCCCGCTGCGACGCTACCGCTGGGCGTTGACGGTTGCTGTCACCCTAAAGGTTCGCGCTTGACATGCGGAGCAGAAAGGCGGCTGCATCAACTGACGTTGCCGACAGCTCGACGTTGCCGCAGCCGAACTTCTGTGGACGAGAGTGTAGGTCCAGTCTGAATGGAACTACCGGTTGGTGGACCTCATGATCTCCATTTGATATGTCTGTGTCACTTCCAGGGCGCCCTGAGGAGCAAGGCCCGTACATGATGTATCCAGCACGGCCGCCCCAAGGCGGCTGTGTTACTCAATAAGGAGCAGCTTGCGCGACGCGATACACGGGGCCGTGACCAGGGTCACCACAGCCCAAAGATCCGATCTGGGTGTTCCAGAGAAGAAAATATCGTCACGACTTCTACTCGCGAGGTACAGGTGATGCCCGTCTTCGTAAAGGATCCACTGAATCCCCAGGTCCACGGGATGGTTGGACAATATGACTTGTCTTGATTGCACCAAGAGATTCCAAAGCGGCGTAGGGCCCATTTGGAAGCCTGCATCTTGTACGACGTGCCTGACTGTAAATGAAAGGTTGGGCCAAGCTGGTGGTGATGCCGGCGAATCCCGCCTGTGCAATACGGTGGTGTCTTCCATGTCCAACGTGAAAACGAGCCGTTGACGGCTTTACGTTCACGAAGCCCATGGTGAAAGCCGTTTGGCCCAGTTAGAGGCATAGCAAATATGAGTTGCTATTGATAGGAGAAATTGGGTGTTCGAAAAGGCTGTCGAATCGACTCAAGGGAGCCCTGTCCTCGAAAAGCGGAAATCGTCAGATGGCAGACGCTTGTATCCGAATATCCGACAGACCCATTAGTCTAGATTATGACAATCTGTAGAACCTGGATCGAAATTATATTAGCCTTTACTGGTCAATAGCGTGGTAGTCATTCGACATTCTCTCGTCCTCAAAATCCATCACTGATCAGAAGCATGCAGGAAACCGGTGGGACGTCGGCCATAGTCCACATTCGAAAAGCAAAGCATCTGGCTTATCGGTCGTAGATCATGCGAGAGCATGCTTCATCTTGCAGCAAACTGCTAGAAGGAATCTTGCAAAAAAGCAAAACTTTCGGTGCTGTTCGAGTTGCTAGCTATCTATGAGGTTGTACTTCGTACTGTACCACCAACTATACTCTGAAGACAACCCGAGTTCCACAAATGGTCTCCAGATCCCAGGAACTAATTGTGGCTAGACCGATCAGTTATACGGCTTGGTCATGGCTATATTCTGTATCCAACTGGCGGACATTTGACCCAGCCTCTTGGGCACACTGCGAAGACATACTGACGCAACAGAACAGAATGTGCACAGATAACTCTGTTACGAGTTGAAGGTTCCGCAGAGTACAAGACACGCTGAGCTCTGTCCCGACTGAAGACCGAAAACAAGCACGGACTCTGTGTCATGTGGACGAGAAGCTGCCAGATGACAGGCTATAACACGAGTCTTGGTAACACGCCGGTTGCGGTATGTTACTGCACGTCGTCCTGTCGTACAGCCGTCCTTCCAGTTGAGGAGCTACTGATGTAGAGAGCCGTTGTATTTGTTAGTAGTTACCGACGCCGTGAGTAACAGCAGTGTTAGGAGTCAAGGGTGTATCGCAGACTGGGAGTCCTCGACTATTTGCCTAGAACAGGTAAACCATACGGCTGGTTCCAGGGACCACAACTGTGCAGCACAGTCAACTCGTCAAGCCCGTCTTTGCGAGACCGACTTGACCTCAGCGGTTCGCAAGAGGCGCGAGCAAGGGGTTCTGGCCACAATAGAATAAAGGCCCGCCCATAGGCCCAACCTGAATGAGCGGGTCATTGAGGCGGTGATTGTTGGCATGAGGTGTCAGACCGGAAGGGTGCGGCTCATCCACATTTGACAGGCGATGGAGGATTGCTACTGCAAGATTATCGATCTTGCCACGATTCACTGGCGCGGTCCTGTCATCCAGCTCCAGGGTCGTCGAACAATTGTTGGTCTCTCCACGGCAGCGTGCTGGATACGGTCCCTGGGCTGTATCAAAGGACCAAACCCCCGGGAATGACAACTACGGCAAAGCAGCCCACTCGTTCGTTGCCCTAGAGTTTGACAAGGTCGTGATGGCAGAATTTCTCCCGCTGCGTTCTCAGCTAGCCCCCCATACTTGAGTAGCGTCATCAGCATTGGCGTTGCACCGCTTCGTATGGCCTGCGCGTGCTTGCAATTATTCTCTCGCAGACTGCATCAGTGGTGTTCGTGTCCAGACTTCAGACGTTCACCAAGTGGCTCCTTACATGGTCGCCCGTTCGGTACGTTTCGGTAGTGAAATAGGGACGGAGCCGGTTCCGAGTCGAATCGAAACGTGGGGCCCAGAGAAGAACAAGATTACTGGGGTGGTACGGTAGCAAGACATCCCTGAAAGCACCCCAGCTGGCGGGCTCTGCCGTCTCATTAATGGAAAGCCGTCCCCTTGTCATGACAAAGGAGATCCATCTGGATGGGAACCCTCGCGACGGGTAATCTTTGCTTAGTTTGGTCATTTTTGCGAATATGACCCCTGCAAATGCGGTTGAGTGGGCCACCCAGCGATCTGGCAGGCCGAATAAGCCTGGCATTTCGTCGAGAACAACGAGTCCCGTTTCTTTCTCCCTGATGGAGACATCGTGGAGCTGTCAAACGTACGATATCCGTAAAAGCCATGTGTTGGTGCGCAACAACCTGGAGTTCGAATGTCCACCTCAGCGATCCTTTGCGGGCTCTTCTGCAATACAGACCGGACATGCCGCTCGAGTCTCGACAGATAGGATGCGAGGACGTACGTATGTTGGAAAATTTAGCAAAAATAAAATTCTGGAGGGATTGTCAGCACAATGGTCCATAATCGCGCCGCCCGCCGACATAGCACATCGCAGGACGGATATCTGGGCCATAATCCGTGCAAATAGATGAAGGGAGGCTGAAGCAAGTCAATCGGGTCTTCTGAAACATGAGGCGTTGAGGCGAACAGACGCTCACCACGCGATGGTGATGTTGTGTCCGTTCGGGCGGACTATTAATCGATGTTATGTTCTATTTCAGTCGATTTGAAAATGTGCTAGAATCGTTTTTTCGTCAATTGTGCTGTTGCGTTCAAAGTTTTCTAGAAAGACATACCTGACAGCTACCTGAAGCTTCGGGGAAAATGTTTGGAGTCGGCGGGCGCCATTCCAACCTAAGTCGCGGATGAACACCTTCGGGAGCAATTCGGAGCATACACTGTTGTGACACGGGGTATTTTTAGGGTTCCATCGTTCACTCCCCCGTACATCATTCCTTGTCAATGCGGTCAGAACGGACCTGGATCGTGTGGGTATGACAAGGCAAACCTCCACAGCAGCCCGTGAATCCCCTTTTTACCCTTGAAAGGTGGAGGAGCAAAAGTGCGCGGTGAAGCTGGACCGCGTTGACCGCTGCCATGCCCGGTGGTACTGAAAATCGCTGGTTCGGACAAATCAGAAGGGCGGCAACGTGAGCGTATGTATTGTACTTGGCGCCGAGCGATGTGCAGACGGGAAGCAAGATCGATTTGGGAACGGCAGCGAGTCAAGATCGCGCATGCTGCTGGCGTCTGCAGTGCCGACCGATGCAAATTGCATCTGGCCGCATCGGCGAGGCGGGCGAGCTGAGGGGATTCGGACATGGTCCAAAGAAACGACAGCACTCATGTATGCAGTTTGCTTGACACGATGTTGTCAGCCAATGGGGCGTACGCGTTGTCAGGCGTAGGCAGGCACACAGACAAGCATCTGGAGCCCATCAGCTAGCACTACAAAGTGCTCCAGCATGAGTCCAGTGGGAAGATCATCCTGTCCCGTGCTGCGGGTGGGCGTGTGCTCCGGCGCACAGGGCAGCGGGAACGTGCAATGATGGCGGTAGATTGTGATTGAATGATGATTAGTGATGTCGGGACCGCCCAATGGCTGAGGCTTTTGGAAGATTGGTCGAAGGCTTCCAAGGAGCGGAGACGAGCAGACAACGGAAGTTCCCAGCTGTCCCTCAGGGATTGATTAAGTCGACTGTGGGAATTAAATTATCATCCCCCTGAACGGAGTGAAGAAGAGTCGACTTCCGACGCCGTAGAACGATGTCGATGTATTCTCGATGGGGCTCGGTCCCGATTTGATAGCCAAAAGTCGGTCCTGGATGTCAACGCGCAGCCTGTGGCGTCCAGCCTTGGGACGACGGGGAAAAGATAACTGACGGGGGGGCCAATCCCACGACGGCAGTAGGAAGAGCAGAGTTCTTCTAGTCTGCTTCGGTTTTGCCCAGGTAGAAACGTTTAACCTCGCCGAAGAATGAGTCTGGCCAGAATTTGAAACGGCACCGAACAATCGGTCGGTTCTGTGCGTGGACCGGAAGGAACCCGCGCTTGACGGTGCCATATTGGGAACGATAAGAAGCCTGTGTGTGTGTGTGCTCGCGGAGGTTGTTTGTTGATCGAGCTCCCAGCAGAGTGTCCATTGAAGTGTCCGATGTACACGGGCATGGCACATGTTTCTGTGGAAGGGTGGTCGAGTACGAGGGCCGGCTACTTGCACAAGTGCCTAAATGATGGATGTCCTTGGTGTGCTTGCTGGTGCTTGGTGTGAGTGGTTGGATGGGGGTGGGATAGGAGAAGCGCCATCGGGCGCATGTGCGGCTTGCGCATATGCGTGGCCCAGATACCGGCGATGGCCATCGGTGAAGGTGAGGTTGGTGAGTTTGTTGTCTCCCCTCGGATTCATCACATATCACATCGGAAAGGGTCGTCGTTGGCGGATGTTCGCAGCAGTTGCCATGCCCGGGTCTATGGCACCGGTCAAGACGGGTGTGGACAGTTAGCAAATGAGAAATCTGGATCGGAAAAAGCCTCCCCGCTTCATCTACCAGTTCCTGGATGGGAACCAATGGGAAGGGGCAGTGTGGAAGGGGTCTCCTCCGGAAGGAGAGATGCTCACGGATAATTGGGCCCAATATTCCGTGAGGCAGGCACGGCGCACACCGCACTGGAGCTTCCCAGCTTGATTGTCTTCGTACCGTCCTTGTCTTTCTAGCTGATTCTTAGGGGTAAAAGTAAGGTACTTTGTCATGGAAGGTACGGATATCTGTCCCAAATACGGCATTCAGACAGATCAGACACAGATACAGATACCCCGTACGGAGTACTCAGTCCAGAGAACAGGACAAGGTACAGCTGAGACCTTGCACTTGCTTTCGCTTGCAACTTGCAGGCAAACAATTCATCAATCCAATTCACCTTGGAGATGGAAAGTGGGCCTCTGCTTACGCCAGGCGTCCCTTACCTAGTACACAGTAAGGCTCAAGGTCCAAGGCCAGCCAAGGGTCAATGTCACGGTTGGGCGGGCAGGGCAGATTCGAGACCGGGGGCCAGGGGCCGGCCCAGACAGGGAGTCGACGACATTCAATGCAAGTCACGCTCGCTGTCCGTCCTTTACCTGCTTCCGACTATGACTTGTCGGTTTTGCAGCCTTGCCAGAGTGAGGCTGGGGGGTTCTGTTTTCTGCAAGGTCACAATAAGATTACACTTCTATTTTCTCTCTAATCTCCTTCAGTACCGGTGTAGAAGCAAGCCATCGGCATGTAGCCCGTGTGTCAAGTGACGTCTGGGCGGAACTGAGGACGCAACGGCGTGCGGGAATCGGAACTTGTTTTCGAACGTTCTGGGGGCGTGATATCGTGCGAAGACCTGAACGGCAAGGTCGGTGAGCCTTTGAGGAACTACCAGGAGACTAGAGATGGCCGTCTCTGAAGCCAGCTGTGTCAGGCTGCTGGAGCCCGCTGTCTTCTGCTTATGCTGGCGGCCCAGCCCATTGCTGATGGAAATGGGAAGTCTGGGCTAGAGATCCACGGCTTGGGCGAAAGCAGACTAGTGTTATGAGCGTAGTGGCTATTTGTGTCCCGTCTGAGAGTCGTTGATTCCATTGTTTACCTGACCTAACTTTGGTTTGACGTTTTATGAGGGGATAGGAAGAAAGTGCGACGAGAGAAAAGAGTAAGGAGGAAAGGAGGCTGGCCGCTAAGAAAAATGGCAGGTGCAAGTGAGACGGCAGGCGCAAGTGCAAAGTGCAAAGTGCGAGAACCAGTTGCAAAGTCACCCAGTGGCTCTTTTCCCTTCAACCCGACCTCAACCCGCGTATCCACTTTTCGGACCTTAATGGAAAGAACCAGCTGCACCACTTGCTCATTGGCCAGCTAGACCTTGGTCATAGGAAAGCTTGGATAACCGGGGCACGTACCTGGCTCCATTAATACCTAAGGTAATAAGGAAGCTACCTAGAGAGACGACTTGCCTTAGGTAATACTGCGGATAACTCCCAAATCACTAGCCACAACCACACAACCCGAACAAAATTGCTGTAGTTTTCACTTTTGAGGCTAAGGCACCTCAGTAAACAATGCATCTTATGCACATCTCAGACTTGTGCTAGCCAGGCTCCTCTCTGACGGACGTATGCAGATGCCATCTAATCAGGACGCATCAGCTTCTGCGTCGCACCTCGAGCTGGCGCCCCTGCCATGCGTGCCAGATGCCAATCGCACCAAAGGACTGAAAGTCTGAAGACGATGCACGCGCCAGGCCGGGTACAAGCTGAACGCCCTCCCTACCATCACCACTGACCACCACCCTGGGTCTGTCGGTCAAGCCTACCGCGGTAAGCTGGAATACCTATCGATGCATACAGATACACGCCATCGGGAGCTCCATACCGATGGTTATGACAATGGCGAACGAACAGAATAGCGACCACAAGGGTGGAAATCCCTCATGCCATGCAGATGAGAGTCGGTACAGTGCATCCCCGAGATCGATACCCAGCATCGGCTACGAGATCTGGGCAAGCAAACCAGCAGCCTCCCGCGCCTCCCACCATCACCCGACCCTTGCCGTTGCCGCTCTCAGCCAACCAGAGACAACCGCCGTGTCGACAAGAGCGCCATGTGCAATCCCGACCGGCCTGGAGAGGCGTTCCGGTGACCCAGATCCAAAGCTGGTGACGGCGATGGCGATGGCGATGCATATTGCACGACAAAAGAACCAACCGTTACAACACAATATACGCCATTTCATGCACTTCATAACAAGCAAACACCGACCCCGCCCTGGCTGGTCCGTATCACTTCACGAACCAGCACGCATCCATCTTCCCTAGATATGCACTTGGACCATCCAACAACACAGCGACCTCAGACAAGCCAACGATGGACTACGGTGCCATCTTCTATCTAGCCTGATCCCGTGCGAACGTGCTCATGGAGCTCGGAGCTTTCTGCACCCAGCTTGGCTTCCTACGTCCAAAAGGCAGTATAGTCGCCATCACAAGCGCCAAAACCAACCATGTACTGTGCGCTGTCATTCTTGTTCGGCGTTGCGACAAGCATGCATCAACCAACAAAGAGCCCGTTGGCTGGTGGCGTGCAGCGGTTGTCGTCCTTGCCAGCCCTAGACACAGACTGTTGGCCTATCGCATGGGCCGCTCTGCGCTGGGAGAGGCCGTTGTATCGCCGGAGGAATCGGTACCTGCAGTGGGCGCAGAGTCCGCGTGCTTGCTCTGGCTAACATGCTACTCTAGCGCAAAGTGTCTGGGGGATCGTCATGCTGGCCATTGCTGAACCGCAGAGCAAAAAAGAGCAGCAAAGCCTAGTAATGAGTAACCCGAGAGACACGACTGGATTCTGGCCCAGAGTTCGCAGCTGTGACGGGATCGGCCTCGCACTGCATTCTCACCATATCAAACAAACCCAGCCAGCAGGGGGCGTCTGGGAACCGGGATGCCGTCAACCGCCGCGCCAGGGCCAGCAGGTGATCACGCTGCGCTTTGCCATCTGAGCCAGTTGAGCCAGTCGGAGTGCGGACTACTCGAGGAGTGAGTTAAACAGATAGGCGACCCAAACCAAGGGCACTCGAAGCAACATGCAGACTGTATTCTGGACTGAATATCCATCCGGCACGTCCCTTCAAAGGACGACAGGCACCACAGCTGCAACGTCTCTTCCTTACAATACGGAGTACATCTCGAACGTCAGGCTCATGAAGACACCATGGCCCCTGTCGACCCATCAGTCAGCACCCGGGCTTCCGTCTCGCCTGGTCTGCACTCCTGTGTATGATGTGCACCCCGTTCCGACGGAACCCCAACTCAACTCTTGGGGCGCAGCAACTTGAGGCGACACCTGACAAGGAGCCTTCATGACAGTTCCTGAAGAGCCAATCGCAAGTTGAGGATGCGTTTGACAACGTGAGCAATCCCATCTTTGGTTCCGATCAACCTCAGATCAACCATACCGTGGTCGCACCTTACAGCCAATCGCAATTCTTGTTTACCTAGATCTCACGAACCTTCCAGCCCTTCGAGCTGTCATGCACACGCCTGGAGCCGTTTCTGGGACCTGTCAAAGGGATTGTGAGCAGAAAAAACATCGTGGGACCCCAGGCAATACCGTCGCAAGGATTCGCCACGGCCGCCAGGGCAAAACATTGATGCTACTCGGAACCTGCCACTTCCTTTCCAGCCACAGACAGGCCCAGTCAATCATGGTGCTGACCGGGGCCACATGATCACCGCGGTAGATCTACGTTTTTGACAGCTCTCCCTCGCGCGGACGGCTTCGGCTCCGGAGGCGCTGCCTGTGTACCCTGCGACAGACGACAGACTCGGCCCCTTCCTGGAGTTGAGGCTTGACGATTGAGGCGCCAATACCCTGATTAGCTTGCTTCCGAAAAAAGGTCTTCTACCAGAAGTTGAAACGGTAGTCAACGGTCTTGACCAGAATGCACTTAGTGCGTCTCTCTGACTCGGTGGTTCTCTCAGCCCTGAGTGCATCCTCAACAACGCAACGGCGTTGCTGAAGAAAAAGTAAATAAAAAATTACACATTCTGTGGGCGGCTTACAATGGGCGACGAATAGGATATGGAGCCAGAAAGAAGACGCCTTGAGCCGCATGACACGCTGCACCTCGATGCTTTGCGGGGAGAAAGACCAGGGAGGGGGGAGGGTTGAGTGACAAAAGTTACACTTGTCAAAGTTTGATCATCACCAATCGCAGACCAGCAACTCTGCTCAAATGGATGCTTCGTTTTGAAGTCAGGCCTGCAAACACTTCCTGATAAGGCAAATGTCAGAACGATCCGATAGCTAGACGTGACCCGTCATGGACAGCCGCGCCGCATACATCGCACGCAACTGTTCCAAAACACTCGGACGGAAGAAAAGCATCCAATGGTGAATGCCGTTTCAGTCTACATCGGTTGTCCTTGAGTCGAGGTGCCATGGCTTTTGTTGACAAGCACAGCCACCATCATCGAATGTTGCGGACGAGGCATCAAGCCAAGTTGGAAGCTCAGCGACTGGTTGAACCCAAGAACACCCAGACACACCCACGAGGGAAGTTTGGGGCACGTCACAGACGTCAGCTGCGACCGGGCGATTGACGGGTGGCTTGGAGAGTCAAAGGCAAAGGGAAAACAACAACAGAGTTCATCGGCTTGGTTTCTTCAACCCAAAGCTTAGGAAAGCTTGGGATGGACGTTTGAATCGTGTTCCCTGCCCTCTCACTCGTCGACAGACTCGCGCGGCTATGTCAAATACTTGAGCCTGCGACGCTCGCGGACCTTATTCAGGACTCGCACAAGAATGCGATACCTGAATAGCGTTAGGATTGGGCTGAAGGGGGTGGGCGTGTCAGCGGCGGATGGCATAGCCGCTCTAGCGCACAACTCAACCTTTGCTTGCTTACCTCTCCTCCCATCCAGGAGACTTCCGGACCCGCCCTATTGTTTAGGATGGCTGTTAGACAGGAATTTTGGGGGAGGGGAGGGGGCGTGGACGGGATCGAGAAAAGACAAGCAGGGGAGCGCCATCACGTCAGGGCTCCCCTGGCTGCTACTCTCCTGGCCTACCCCCCAGTCCCCCCTCCATGAAAACATCGTCTGTCCATCCATTCACCTTATCCGCAGGCACACTCGTCAGACACACCACCAACTTGACACCAGACATGCACACACGCGCACATTGGCATACGAGCTCGAACCGGAACTTCAACAACCAGTTGCAGAACCATACGCCCCATTGCAGCTTTGTGACACACCACCATTCGCTTTCGTGACGGGAGTTCCCTTTCCTGTCAAGATGTCTCCAAGTCATGACATGTTGGACGTATGCCTGACAGTGTTGAGAGTTGTCTCACTCCCTGACCATGTGCACAAAAAAGAAAGCTGCCGGTATTTGCAGAATTAACGGCGCCTCCCTGGGTCGAGGGCGCGAGCACGAGCGATGGATTTCGCCCATCAACAACAAGATGCTAAATCGAGAGATTCGAGAGCTCGAGAGTTACTAGTCCTCTTCTACGGCTATGTTGACCAGTCTTCAAGAGCCGATTGCTCACGGACGATGAAGGTTGGTCCAGCAAGAGGTTCAGGAAAATTCAGGACTCCCGCTGTCTTCTATTTTGGACTGCTGAGCTCAGACGGCAGTTGTTCGGCGGGTCAAGAACGCCATCTTGAATAACAGATAATTTCTTGGGGGTGATCGCTGTATTGCCGTTCACGACATCCGGGACCTTGATTCTCAAGGTTGGAGGGTGGTGGATAGAGCCGACAGGGCCTTCACTGCTCGCCCTTTATCGCTTTTGTTAGACTTCATCTTTCTTTCGGTAATGCTATGGGCACTCATTCATGTCAATATTGGACAGAATCTGTCGTATACTGAACCCATCTCCGGTTTACCATGTTCCCTCGCTGAACCTGCTCCGATCAGGAAATGACGGCCAGCCGGGTCAGAGGCCGTTACGTACCAGAATAGGAACCAGGCCACCAGTGCCAACCCCCGGTCTAGTTGATGGGGGCCTATTCTTCATTTATGTCAATTGTGCAAATCTCTATTTTATCCTCGATTCTTATACAAAGACTGCCTACGGAGACGGAAGTCTTATTCACTTTAATCCATCATAGGACCTGAGCGCGGCCAGAGCGTTACAAGCGACAATGAAGGGGCTTGGCTGGGAAGGTGAGGTAACTGGTTGAAGCCAGCGCGCCAGTTGCATATGTGATGGCACGTTGAATAGTGTATCCGTAGCAGGTGGTCAAGTCGTTGAAGTAATGCAGCGCCATTGACTCTTGAGTACTCCGTACCAACTGGAGTGTCTCCATATCCATAATCCGCCGCCGCCGCGCGCGCCCCCCCTTCGGGCAATTTCATCTACACTACGTACATCACAACCGTCCTGGCCCCGGGTGGGAGCCCACGAGCAGCCGGGGAGCACAAGTAGACCCCTGCCCACAGACGCTACGGCTTCCCTAGTGGCTCTTTTTCGTGTCACTGTTCGAGCAGGCTAGTGCTTCTCCCATCTCTTCCACTCTTCTTCTTGTATCCTGGTCACTTTCTTTCTCGTTCAGACCCCTATCCATGCTGTCCTGCTGGCACATCCTCAAGTACCACCTCGAGCTAGCATAATCAGTCCGTTGCCCGCCAAAGGGAACGCCACCGAAGCAATCCTAGGACCAGGCCCTGACTGGGTGTGGGTACGGACGGTGTGGTCCTGCGACCCTGGTCGAGATGGGCAATCCCATCCTCCTTCTTGTTCCTCATCGACGGCCTGCTTGTACCCTGATCGTCCTCTTGCCATGCCACCCTTGCCCATGCCTCGCAGCTCTGGGCTAGTTCAGGTTTAGTCTGTTCCGTCAAAACCATCCTCCCTCCCCCACATCAGCAAAGGCCTCGTTCCCAGATACATAGAAGGCATTAAGCATCCGTGGGCTGTGCGCTTCTTCCTCTCCAGTCCAGTCCAGTTTACTTTGCTCTACTACGGATACCTCACAAGCACAAGTCTACCTACCAACCTACTCTCAGTCAAAGTCTCCACGGTCCGATTCACAAGAACCTACTAGTTTGGGGCTCTTTCGTCTGAGGCTGGTTCGTGTCAGTTTCAGTGTGCTCAAATCACCGTCTTAATTTGTCCAATTTGGCCCGTCGCCGGGTCCTCCTCTTCCTCCTCCTCGACACTTCTCTCCCATTTCCTATT